CAACTGGCTTTATGCAACTCCCGGAAGGCCAATTAGCAAATCATTTGTTCTGTAAACTGAAGCCGGTTTCCGCGACAACAGATCGTTTCGGTAACCACATTCAATTGGATCTATTGAACTAAACTGAGGGGTATATTCCAGAATAGGTTGGGGAGAGGTTTAAATGTAGATCACACTGATCGAATGTCAGAACTAAAGACGGACACTATGGATCACTTTAGCCATCCGGTTCGTTTGGTTTGGATCATCACTGAGAACTGGTCTAAACATCCGTTCTCTTCGGACCCTGTAAAGGAAATGTAGTTCTTCCTTCAGGATTACATTCTGCTTCTTTGAAATGTCAAATTCTTCGTCAGTTCGAGTTCAATTGGCGTTTTTTCTAGAACTCTGTTTCACCACTATTGTCATTCACAAGGCAGGAATAAAGTTGGCTCGCACTTAAACCCAAAGGCGAAGAATATGAACAATTACAAAGGAAAAATTAATCCGGAAATGTCAGAAATCGAGAATGAAATAAATTCATTTTTTTTACAACATCCGAGTTCTATGAAATTTAAAAGCAAACGGAACTTTATAAAGATTTCGATTGTCTGAGATAACGCCACGTAGTCTGATGAAGTCAACAGACATTTCGAAGGAACATGTCACCTCCTTCTTCAGGACTGAAGAGTGAGCCAAACAAGAAAGAAGTATGAAGCAGGCTGCAAGCGTTATATCCCAAAAGAGACAACTCCCAATAACCACCGCTTTGATAACCTGAATTTCTAAATAAACGTATTTATTTAGCTTCATATGTTGAGTGGGACACATTTCAATAATGAAATATAAAAGGTAAAAAAGAAAGGTAAAGCTATCTCTGTAACAGGTCGTGGAGGACCACAGGGTTGTCTGACGTCGAGGCTCCCACATTGTCTAGACAATCGGTTCACAGATGGCGATGAAGTTGTCAGCCTTACGCGCCGGCCGCGCTTTACCCCTAGGAAAATTCCTGGTACTCATTTCTGTTAGAGGCTGAGTCGACCCCAGGGCCATAGTGCGGCTGGAAGGATTAGGTCAAATGAGAAAGCCAATGAGCTCACCAGGATTCGAACCCGCACCCTTCCGGCTTGTAGGATGGTGCCTCAACCAACTACGCAACCTCGTGCCTCGCAGTACCACATTAACTATTTCTTTAAATATAATTAAAATAATAATCTAAACTGCAATTTTAATATAAATTTGTGACAAATTTGACAAAGGTAATCTTTACGGAAGAGAAACGTCTGCAGGACTGTCATGCCGTGCTGACTGGGAACTCGTTACCAACATTTCGGAGTCACGTGTCGCCTCCATTTTGAAAGCAGAAGAGAACTCTGGCAGTGAAGGCGGCACATTCCTCCCACAGGTCGGCAACGACCCAGAGACCTCACGGCACTATAGCCCAGAAGGCAGAGATCTTCACTCGTAACATCGGCTATTTCGTTAGGGGCGTTGGAAGGTGGGCGTACAGCCTACATGTTTAAAGTTCAGGATGAAGGCGAGAGGTAGATTATAGGGGACTGTCTTCTGTGATTAAAGCGCGGGGTGGAGCAGAGAGATCCCGACATTTCTGACGTATATATAGCTTCAGTCTTCAGGATCGAAGAGTAAGTCAAGTAAAAAACCAGCTGCTTCACCTTGCCGCCGGCTTACGCTGGTATTTGTTTGACTTGTCCTTTGACCCTGAAGATGGAAGTTATATATTTCTCCGAAACATCGGGCTTTCTCCCAACTACACTGCGTTACAACATAGAAGACGGTATTCTTCATAGTCGCCGCCGTTCGAACCTCGAATTCAATAGGATTTTTATGTACTCTTCTTTTAAGGCCTTGACAGTGACTCAAGGCTACATTATGTGGAAAGATCCGACCAGAGTGAATAATGAACTGGAAAGATTTGGTAGGAAGCCGTCGTGACCCAGTCGAGGTACTATCATGAAATTTCTTTGGAGGGACTGAGGATATACAAGAAAAGCTTCTGTCAAGGTAGCCGGTGATGCGGCCGAGATTTGAACACAGCACTTCTCGAATACAAATGTAGACTGTTAGCGCCAGATCAGCCTGTTCGGTAATAATATTATTCACTCACTTACTCATGGAGCTGAGCACTTCTTGATAAGCCGCCAGTTGTGCAGATACTCAAGAACTTCCCAGCATTTTATGGAACCCGAAGCTTTATTACCGTGTTCACAAGAGCCCTCCAGCGGTCCCTATCCTGAGGCAGATCAATCCAATCTATACAATTCCATCCCATCTCTCTAAGATCCATTTTAATATTGTCCACCCAACTACGCCTTTGTCTTCCCAGCGGTCTCTTTCCTTCTGTCTATCCCACCATCATATACGCATTCCTCTTCCCCCATTCGTGCTACATACCCAGCCCACCTCAATCTCCTTGACTTGAACATTCTAATTATACTTGAAAAAGAGTACAAATTATGAAGGTCCTTCTTTTTCGTTATTATTATTATTATTATTATTATTATTATTATTATTAATTCTCAATTACTGATTGATTTCATTGATGGGTATGATATGCAACCCCGTCATGAGCCTTATCAGCTTAAATGAATAACAAATATTTATACATTTGCATACTGATCTATGCAGTAACTGTTTACAAAATTTGCTACATTGATTCTGTGTTGACTATGGATCTAGTGGAATAGTGACATTTAGAAAGAATCATTCAATAAATTTTCCACCCTATGGTGAACCCGAAGGTTCATTATCGTATTCACAAGATCCGTCCACTTTTTCACATACTGATCCAGACTAATCCAGACCACATTCACACGCTGTGATTCTTCAAGATCTAACTCAATATTATCTAGGTCTCTCAATTTGTCTCTTCCATACAGGTTTTCCTTCAGAAATTTTGTACCAATATCTCATTCCCCATTCGTTCTTCATGTCTCACCCATCTCATCCACTTTCGTTTCATAAATTTAATAATATCTAGTGACGAACACAGATTATGAAATTCCTTGTTATTCAATAGAGAGGCTCACTTTTTATTCACATATCGTGTAAGAGCGCTGTTGGTTCGTGTAAAGTTCTCTCTAGCTCGCTCCAAATTGAGTTTGCATCAGTGGGCACGGTAACATATAAAGCAGAGACACTTTAATTAATTTCGTAGATACGCACTGGAACATAAAATGGAATCCTCTGCTTCGTTTTCAATTTCTTTGGAATTTCTTTCTCAAGTCTCAACTGTAATATCTCTTCGTTCTGACTTATACAGCCCCTTCTATTCCTCACCTCCACCACATCCTCTTTTCTTCAAGTTTATCAAATCTCTTCCCACTCTAACTTCTTTCTTCAATAAAATTCATAAGCTACTTCGCTGAAATGTTCTCGGAACAGACTTTAAATCTTAAAGATAACGTATTTATTCCACTAATCAAAATATCATCCCTCGGTTTTTCCTCTCAATTACCCGCAGTTTTAACACAAGATCTCTTTAAACATTGCCACATTCATATCTAAATTCTTCGGCACTATGACAGCCTAATTAAATGCTGAATCAATAACACAGTTTGTTTCAGATTGCCATTTGTACAAGTAAATGCTTTAATATCTCCCATTTTGTTTTTATACGAGTAAAACAAAATGTCCACAAAGTATTATGAAGTGTGATAATGGGAATTTCTTTATAAACAGAAAAATATACTTCACCAAAATTTTGTAAACTTGCAAATACTTTTTACCTTTCTTTCTGTCATGCAGCTCCTCTTTTTCCATTTGTAATGAATTTATTCATTTACAACAAACGTGTAAAATCTAGGCATAGTATGAAAATCTTACGTGACAATCTGTTCATGACATTACTTCTAAACCTAGTGAAAACCTTATAATGAAACCTAACTGCAATATATATCTTAAGAAATATCAGAAAAATTTGATATCGACTTATATCGATCAACTATAAGTAGCTATTTTACACGAATTTCAAACTGAATTTTATTCATTTTCTCTGAAAATATAATTATATAAAATGTCTATATTGTGTAAAAATAAAGTTAATTGAAATATTTTCTATTATTTACCGAACTGCAAGTAAATACATGAGCAATGTAATTTCTTATGCAGTGTAATATCCACAGCGCGATTAGCTTTGCAACAATAGACATGTGTCTGCAAAGAATGAACGCCTAGAGCAGATAAGCCTATGACAGATAAGAAATAACGTATTCAGAAAACCACTAGGAAGACGTAGATTATTATTATTGGAAGGGGTGGGTTTCCCCATGCACCGCGACTAATAGTCTATTGTACGTCCACCTTTGATATTCTACCAGTCTCCATAACCTGCCGGTACTGGTGCTCGCTATCAGCCCCGTTCAGCCAGCGAGGCTGGCTGTGGTACCCGATGCTTCCCCATCTACCGGAGGCATTGGAAACTACTTGGGCGGGAAACGTTACCTAATTTTGCTCAGAGGTATCCTAGAGATATGAGGATCTTTTACGTGCCGTGAATCTACGACACGGGACCCACGGCTTAAAGTCCCTACCGGAGGACTTGTTCCCTGAATTTTTCCGCCCTTAAAAATTCCACGACCTCCGCCGGGTTTCAACCCGCGTACCTTGAGTCATGAGGTGGGAACGTTACCCCTAGACTACGGAGGCCGCTTAAGACGTAGATGTAAGTGGGAGGTTAATATTACAACGAATCTTAGAGAAATAATATGGGCTGTTATGGAATGAATTGATCTGGCTCAGCGGGGTATTATGAATATATTACTTCGGGCTCTATAAAATTTTGGAGAAATTCTTTAGTAGCTGAGTGACTGGTGGTTTCTCACGAAGGACTCAGCTTCATAGAGTTAGTTATATTCTTTTACTTTCGCTCATTGCTATTAACTTCCTTTCCCTAGTGCGCAGACCAGTGCCACAAGGGAATAATCCGACTGTAGCAAGTAATGCTAAGTTCTGTTGGTTATGAGACCATATCTTTTCAGAAACCATACAAAATCTCTTACTTGTATAGACTTCTCCTGGCACATATTTGTCCGGATTTCCGCTGATCTTGATTCTGAAGCGATGATCTGCTTTTGTCTTGGGTGGCATGTGACCTCCAGGCTCACGATCACAATGAATTGCGCATGCGCTGTGAAGCTCGGTAACCAACAGGAGGCAAAGGATGAGATGCGCTCCACCTCGCATTTTGAGAAACTGAAATGAAATAAACTATAGATTAAAAACTTCATAAGTACCGTTGTGAGAACTCAAATCCTACAATTATAGAGACATTTTATACAAGGGCGAGTTTTTTTTTTAATTTTTACCTCTTTTAACGACGCTTCACTGAGTGCGTTGGTGTAACAGGGTCAAATGGTACAAGTATTCTGAAGGATAAATCGGAAAGCACTTGGAAGGAAGATACGTGTTTAAATATAAAAGGAAAAATGAAATTATTTCTGTCCTTAAATAAGCAACATATCAAGAACACATATGAAGGAGTGGAGGTATAAGGTGAGAGGTCAGGTTTTCGGCTTTTGAGTAAATTTCTGCTGGCCTTCATCAGCATAGTCATTCTTGATCCCTGGCCGTCAGAACACATAATCACGTTTTTTTATTTCACGAATCTGACTAAGCAGTGAGACTGTGTGGTCAGATTCACAACCAGCAGATTTTCCGCCCAGGAAAGTAGCCGCCGGTACCCATTACAGGGGAGGCTGGGTGAGCCCCAAAACCAGTGTGGATGTTGCTGGGAAGGGAAAAATCTCTTACCCTGCCGGGTATCATACTCGGATTCCTCGGTCATCCTGCTCGTAGCCTACTCACTATATCCACTGAGCTACCACCCGAATGGTTGCCAAGAGTGATTGAGAGAAAAATGAAAATCCTCAAGTATCATAAGCGGTTTTAAGACAGAGAATTGAAACTCGTATTTTCTGAAAATGGAACAGAAGCTGTAACCACTACACCATGAAGTTCTGTTGTCGTCATCGTCGTTGTTGTTGTTACTGTTATCGTTGCTGCTGTTGTTCTTGTTACTGTTATCGTTGTTGTTGTTGTTGTTGTTGCTGTTATCGTTGCTGCTGTTGTTCTTGTTACTGTTATCGTTGTTGTTGTTGCTGTTGTTGCTGTTATCGTTGCTGCTGTTGTTCTTGTTACTGTTATCGTTGCTGTTGTTGCTGTTGTTGTTACTGTTATCGTCGCTGTTGTTGTTGTTACCGTTATCGTTGCTGCTGTTGTTGTTACTGTTATCGTTGCTGTTGTTACTGTTATCGTTGCTGTTGCTAATGTTATCGTTGCTGCTGCTGTTCTTGTTCTTGTTACTGTTATCGTTGCTGTTCTTGTTCTTGTTACTGTTATTGTTGCTGCTGTTGTTGTTACTGTTATCGTTGAAGTTGTTGTTGTTACTGTTATCGTTGCTGTTGCTGCTGTTGTTGTTGTTACTGTTATCGTTGCTGCTGTTGTTGTTCCTGTTACTTTTATCGTTGCTGTTGTTACTGTTATCGTTGCTGTTGCTGCTGTTGTTGTTGTTATTGTTATCGTTGCTGCTGTTGTTGTTCCTGTTACTTTTATCGTTGCTGTTGTTGTTGTTGTTACTGTTATCGTTGCTGTTGTTGCAGTGGGTGTTTTATATGATAGGTCATAAAACAGTTTTTTTTTCAAAATCACACCAAAGAGAACGGTGGACCTCAATGCAATATTGAATATTATTCGTCAGCTTCTAGTTCCGACCGTTTTCACTGCAGCGGAAAATGCCCCTGGTACACGTTGGAAAACAGGCAGACTGAACTATCGTCACTTTTTTTCGTTCTGGTATCCTGAATGTTTCGCAGAAGAACACAGGAATGTCTCCACGACATTTCGAGGTTTCATATGAAAACGCTATCCACCCCCTGCGATACGCAACTGACTGTTCCCCAATAGCATTACATTGGGTCGATCAAAAGTGAATCCGTTTGATGTCATAGCAATGTTATTCACGCTTGACTGTCTATTCACTGGCTTATACCCTCGGTCTGACTATAGGCTGTCCTAAACTCAGAGTCTCAGCTTAAATTCTGCGATAGTCTTTGAACAAGCAAACACTAATCCCTTCTATATCCCTTCCAATCAATAATTGTCACTCATCCCCCTCCGTTTTAAGTTTTTTTATTTTTTAATTCTCACAGTGGGGGTGGAGTCCAGCTGGATCCACTCGGCACGGGGGCCACTGATTGGCCTATTGTACCTGCCCCGGGCGATTATGATGATGGAGAATTTGGTGGGATGATTGGCAGGGGAAACCGAAGTACTCGGAGGAAACCTGCCCCAGCGCCACTTTGTTCACCACAAATCCCACTTGACCAGACCCGGGATCGAACCCGGGCCGCCGCGGTGGGAAGCCAGCGACTAACCGCTTGAGCTATGGCGCGGCCTGGTTAGTTAGTTGGTTAGTTAAGCTGTAATTGAATAAGGTCGTTACTAGGATTCTGAAACCGGAATACAATCCTTTAGGAACCACAGGTCTGCAGTGCGTTAAAAGTGCCCAAGAAACAGACGACATGGGCGAATAGTGGTACACGTATTATGGAGGGACTGATGCTTCTACAGCAAGTGGCGCTTGGACTCTAAGCAGAACAGTCCTGAAAATACCAGAATATAGACAAAGTCTAAATACAAAAACAACAACAAAAGTGACGTAGGATATGAAGTTCTCACAGCCGTCGTTAAGAAGAGTTCTCTCTTCGGGGATACAGCGTCGCGTCGTCAACGGAAAATCAACCGACGTTTCGGAAGCGACATGTTACTCCGAAATGTTGAACTACTTCCAACTTGACCAGATAGCGTATCCCAGAAGAGAGAACTCTCCAACGATTACGATGATAACGATAATAATAATAATTAACGAAACTTGTTCTTCCAGTAAAAGTATTTCAAATAAATTTCACACAAGCTAACAGTAAAAGGTAAAGGTATTCCTGTAACAGACCATGAAGGCCCATAGGACTGTGAGACGTTGAGGCTCCCACATTTTCTCTAGACAACCGGCTCACAGGTGACGGTAAGTTTGTCAGCCTTATGCGCCGGACACTCTTTACCCCCCAGGAAGATTCCTCGTACTCATTTCCGTTAGATGCTGCGTCGACCTCAGGACCATAGTGCGCCTGGAAGGATTACATAAATTGAAAAAAAAATCCGATGACCTCCTCGGGAATCGAACTCGCGACCTTACGACTTGTAGCATAGTGCCTCAGCCAATTAAGTTACCGCGCGGCTCCCACTAACTGTGAGTAGGCAGAATTATCGATTTGGCAACGTAATTCGTAAGGTTCTACGATATTAATAACAATATTAATATTAGTAAACTAATGCAGAATGAGTCTGTCAGGCTGTTTGCCTATACCACGAAGTGAAGAAGAGGTGCCAATTGGAAGACCTAAATGTAGAAGGAAGATATTTAGAATAAATCTTGGATGTGGGGCTCCAGAGTGTTTACAGGCTCCGTTGGTGAGCTGTTGTGAATAATGCAATGAACCTTCCAGTTTCATATAAGACAGATTTTCATGACAAGCTTTAAATCATGCAACTGGTTACAGTGTCTGTAATTACGTAACTTTGTCCAGACAAATGTGCGGGAACCCTCCATGCAGATGTGCAAATTATGAAGCTGGTGCTATTAGTTCATGAACTTATGACCTTCATGGTGATAAGATTACGGCCATTGCCAATAGGTCACAATTTTCCCAGAGATTGTAAAACTAGAAGAAATTTTCAGGCTACTCCAAATATGCACTTTCAATATTACTGTAACGTGTATACCCATTGCTAGGGAACGGCTTGGTAAACACATTCCCGCAACACACGTGCATGTAACAATAGAAGGACATTCATGGCTATGTAACGGATCAGTAAACACGCATCCTTAACAACAGGAGACAGCGTTTTCTGTGTGATCCTTGGTGATAAGTTACTGTGACTACGAAAGTGTAATATGTGAGTGTACTGAATCAGTATCTAACCAGCTCCTTGGGACACAGACTTTCTGAGAGGCTAACTCAAGATGTTTTCCGAATTTTGCAGAACAGAGAAGTTCATTACCATGTTGACAAGAGCCGGCCATTTGACCCTAACATGAGCCAGATAAATCCAGTTCACGTCATCAAATTACATTTCCTCAAGACATATGCCTGGATTTTCCAAATAGTCTCTTCCTGAAGAAAGCAGTCTTCTGGGATTTGGCACCCTGTATATGTGGTGTTAACCGACGTTTCGGAGGAACGTATCGCCTCCATCTTCAGGGTAGAAGAAAAAATATAAGAAATCTGCAAGCGAAGAGACCGTGAGAACCGGTAAAAGCAGACTGTCTGCACAGTGACCACATATACACGGTGCCAAATCCCAGAAGACTGCTTTCTTCATAGTCACCGCCGTGAAAGCCTGAAATCTTACATAGTCTCTTCCTGTTATCCGACTGTTATTTTGAATGAATATCTCATCTCTCTCCCGTGTTACACATTCCGTTTTGTGTCACCTTCATTAATTTGATCACACTTACGGCAAGAGAGCAACACTCGTTGAGAATTTAAAGAGAATTTTCGTCATTTAATGCATAAACTTTAGTAATATTAACTTCCCCTGCTTTCTCTCGTATTCACTTCCGACTCTACATGCTATCGAATGATAATCGAGGCCGACGTTTAACGTCACCTCCCCATGAATAACACGAATAAATACTCAATTACAAACTCTCTCCTTCATATAGTATATTACACGTCACACATCCACAGCAAAAGGGTTATCAGCTCTCACAGAATAGAAATGATATACTAAAACATAATCGTTCGTGACTTTTTACATATCTTACGTTCAAAGGACATGGTAGCGCCTGATAATTCGTTACTACGATGACCCGAAATTACTTAATGAAAATGAAAAATCTTACGTTTAAAAACTGTTATATGTCCTGGGGAGTAAAGCGCGGCAGGCGCGTAAGGCTGACAACCTTACCGCCATCTTTGAGCCGATTGTCTAGATAATGTGGGAGCCTCAACGTCTCACAACCCTATGGGCCTTCACGGCTTGTTACAGGGATAGCTTTACTATTTTTTTTATATATGTATATGTAAGGATATGATGACAAATGCAAATTATGATGGTCCTTATTATATAATTTCCTTCATTAAATTTTCGTGTAACAGACTGCAGTCTCTTACGTTCAGCAGCTCTGAAAAAGA